GTTCATATGAGTCAGAGCCAACACAACAGTAACTAGTAATCATGTTGAGTAGGGCTGGATTACCAGCTAAACTATCCTCTCTCTGGTCATTATATCAATAACTTGTTTACAGATTGCTGTCTTTTTATTTTTCAGTTTCTTTATTAAAGTATAATTTGTGTATCATACAATATGCCAGCTGTAAGTGGACAATTTGATGACATTTAGTATTTTTATAGTTATATAACTATTATCAAATTCAAAACATTGTATCATCCCAAAATGTTTTTGAAGTTCATTTGCTATCAATATTCATTTCTATTAACAGTTTCAGGAAATCACTAATCTGTTTTCTGTGTCTATAAATTTGTCTTTGATGAACACTTATTGTCAGTAGGGTCAACATAATAGGTGACCTTTTGAGTCTGACTTCTTTTATTTAGTTTAATGATTGTGGGGCTACCTAAGTTATGGTATGCAAAAAGAATATGATCCTTTTTATTACCAAATAATGTTTCAATTTAAAAATATATTTTGTTTAATCTTTTTTCAGATGGTAAGCATTTGTGATATTTCCAGTTTTAGAGTATTAGGAATGTAGTTTCTGTGAATATTAATTTATAAGTCTTGCACATGTCCATTCTATTTCTATAACCAAATACTATTTACTGGGAACTTAATAATATTATCAACCATCTTAAGAGCCTATATTTTATCATGCCTGTCGGAAGGAGTAAGAGTATTCGAGGTAACTTAGTTTGCATTACAGAAGGAGAAAACAAATTTTTTGCTTATTTCTTGTTTACATGCACAAGCATCAGAATTTTAAATAGTTCCCTTTCAGTCCAATTGTCTCATTTCCTTAGGTCTTTGCTCTTAGTTCTTTTATCTAAACTGTATTTTCATAGTGTCCTGTATTTTTACCTAAAACCAACCAATCATGTGCTGGACATTTATTTCTCTCATGTCTATCTTATTTATTTCTTAGGAATTTTGAAAATGGACTTAGAAGAAAAACAACAACAAAAATACAGTGAAACTTGTGATAATTAGACCTAGACAGGACTGCCTTGTTTTTCCAGGTCTTATAAATGTTCTACCACTAACAGGATATAGTCTTGTCACTTGTTTTATTGGGAAATATTTAAGCTTTCTATCTCTGACAGGTTCTACCTTAAACAGTTTCCAACTTTCACAGATAACTGAAGGTGGTTTTCATAAAGGCAGAGGGGCATTTTTTAAATAAATAATTATAATTTTGAAAATCAAGAAATATATGGAGCAAGATATATCTTTGATATGTGAAATAAACAAGTAAAAACAAGAGGTTCATTAGGAAAATTATTTAAATTATATATATATATATGGTTTTTACTGGCAAATTCTTTAACGACATTCCCCTTAAAAGGAGAGTCTTATTCCTCTCCCACTCCTATTGTGTGTATACTAAATTTAGATACTCACTACTAGCAAATAGTAAAAGCGGCAGTGATGATATGTCAGGTTAGAGACAAAAATGGTCTTAAATATTCTATGCTTCTTTGGATCATTCATTATGAGGACATCAGGCACCGTGTCATGAGAACATTTTGGTACATGTGTTTATTTAGATATAAGTTAACATTAAGAGTTGCTCTAGTGGTAAGAAACTGTGCTGCAATCCCAAGGACATGTGATTCAAACCTGCCAGCTGCTTCATGAGACAATCTCCTCTTGTGCAATTTATAGCCTCTGAAAAGCTGCTAGAGGGTCAGTTTTGAGTTGGTTCCAACCTGATGGCACACAACAACAACATGAGAAACGTGTTTTGGTGGTATGGTGGTTAAGGTACTTGATAGCTAATCAAAAGGTTAGTTGTGTAAAACCATCAGTCTCTTTGTAGGAGAAGTATATGGCTGAGTTCTGTTGGTCTATGGCGGTATGATGCTATGCTGCAGTCCCAAAGACCTGTAGTTTGAATCCTTCAGCTTCTCTATCCTGTGCAATTAACTGCCTCTGAAAACCCACTGAAGGGTCAGTTGTGGGTCAGTTCCACCTTCATGGTACACAAAAAGTTTTGGAAAGATTTATATGGCTTTATAAACAGAATAGAGAAGTTTTACCTTTGTCCTTTAGGGTCACTATGCCTAAGAATCAATTTGATGGCAATGAGGTGGGGTAGGTTTTTTGTTTGTTTGGTTTGGTTTTGGTGAGTTTATTTTTCCTTTTCTGAGAAGAAGCTGAAGTCTCCTATCAATAGCCATGTGTGAGAGCCATCTTCAAATCATATTCTTTAAGGCTATTCAATGAATGCAACCCTTGGCTAACAATTACAAAACCCAAAGCAAGACTGCACAGCTAAGTTACTCTAACATCTAATTCTCAGAAAAGGAGTGAGACAGTAAAATATCTTGTGTTAGCTGCTAAGTTTTAGGGCTGTTTGTTACATAACAACTAAACTATATTGTTCAGGAAATCCAAGAACTTTTAAATGAGTGAAATAACATTCTCCAGAATGACAAAGTAATGGTATTAGCAACTGCTAATGAGTCAGACATTTCTCACTTTTCAACATGGTTAGGATCCTGGGACCAAATAATTAGATAAAAATGGAGAATAACTACATCAGATCACAAAATAGAAGATGACTATATTATAAAATAGCTACCAAATAATATCATTATCTAATTGTCAAAATACTGAAAATCATAGTAGAACTAAATTAACCCATAGCTTTAATTGCAATTGTCAACTTTACTCTTGCCTTACACTTCAACTATCATTATAGCCAGAAGAATATCACTAATGCACAAAAGATATGTATAGTAGTTATTTTTTGTATTGTAATAGATGCAAACTATCGGATAATGAGACAGCCAGTAAATAAAAGTACCAATACCCACTCCTGTCATGTTGATTCTTACCCATAACAACTCTCTTTCAGGTTTCTTATACAGTAAATCATTATGGTAGAAGACTGCCCATCTTTCTCCTGTATGTATTCAGACCGTAGACTTTTTAGATAGCAGTCTCACGTACTATACATTATGTCACTAAGGGTATTAAGTGAGGTGTGGGTGTACATAAATATTTCCTTTCATAATAAACAGGTAGAAGGTATCCCTAATACATTTCCCCTTTCACTCTTTAAGTTGATTATTTAGCACACATTCTAGGTAGGTCCTATCAGACCCAAGTCAAACAGAGCATTTTAAATGGCTGTTTGAATGAACCAATCACTGGATATCATTGGAGAGTGAAAGCAAGCTGAATGTATTATTTTCACATCTGTGCTTATTTCTGGTGACCCAGAGTACTTCCTTTGTTATACTTAAAATCATCTTTCTTGTCCTTGGTTACATCCAATGTCATTGCTAATTTTTAATTAAGGATATTAACTGTACATACCTAGTAAATATTCTGTACAGATTATGTTGTATATGTTATAGGCAAACATATAGATCAGTGAATTATACCTAGCAAGCAAAATCAAAGTGTACTTTTTATTGTATGGAATCTATAACTTCTTCAGGTCTACTTGTAAGACAGTATATCACGGGTAGAGCTAAAGACTTAATGCTAGAATTAAACTGATTGAATGTAAACACTTATTTCTTAAAATATCTTTATTTTTAAAGTGTTCTATTTATTTTTTTAAAAAATAGGATCTATTAATAGATATATTTAATGTTTTTATGAGTTAGTCAATACACATACAGAGGTATTAGTACACTATTATATCTGTAGTAAGATTTTTAAACATTAGTTATTATTATTCTAGGTGTTTAAACTAGTTATTTAAATAGATGATCACTGGACTATAATTCATTCAACTAAATATTGATACTTAAATACCAAAATAAATAGTGAATATTATTATTGGTATAATTTCAACCAATAACGAATTTATTAGATTTTCAACAAAAGATTGTACATACAACAAATACAAACTCTGGCTCAAAATGTATTCTTTGAAAATTACACAGAAATTTATTCTATCATTAATTATTAATAAATACTTGATGAGATTGCCACTTAAAACATAATGAAAACACAGGAAGCATTCAGTGCCACCCAGAGCATGGTAAAAATAAATAAATTTAAAAAAAAAAAAGACCTGGACACCCACCTCTGGTAAGAGATGGTACAAACTAGCACCAAACTTTCCTGATGTGGAAGAAATATAGCTCCCAATAGAAGAGTGGCTCAAAGTTATAAACGAAGTGGAAGGTTAAACATACCAAACTGTATAAACCTACTTTTATATTTTATACCTTGTTACATGGATTGGCTGATTACCCAGGGAAAAGCTAAATTTATAAAGAAGACTTCTCTATGGCCTCTAAAACTGTTTTGCTTAATAGCAAATAATTAAAAGAAAGTTGGAACAATATAGACTGTGTGAGCAGAAAAAGATAACATTGTTTTGGCATATAAAAAAAATTACTCTGACAAGCACTGTGGCAATTGGACAATTAAAACAGACATTCGGATGGCGGGGAAGAAGAACAAACTGGGGAGGAGGGTAGAGAGTATGGTGCAGCAATGAAGGAATGAAAACCCAAAATCCCTGTAAATGTTCATTAAAACTAATAAAATTTAATAATTAAAAAAATATATAAACTCGGTAAAAAAAAAAAGGAAAGATGGGATAACTTGAAGTCTTTCCTTAACTGGGGGTTCAAATGACTTATTCTCTACCATGAGATCCTATTACGGAAATGCTTCTCTGATAACTCATTTGCCCAACTTGGCATTTGGCAATAATTCTATTCGAAGTATAGCAGATTTGAAACAACTTCCAAAGGATTTCAAAGAGAAAAATTCACTAACATTACACAGGGGGCCTTGGTGGCCTAATGTCAAGAAGCTGCTCCATAATCCCAAAGGCACGCAGTTTGAGGCCGCCAGCTGCTCTCAAAAAGGATGGATAATCTCCTCCCATGCAAATAATTGCCTCTTAAAACCCACCGGTGGGTTAGCTATGGGTTATAACTCTAGAGTACACAACAACAACAACTTACACCCCAGAAGAGTACTTGTTAGCCTACTTGAGCTAACACTTTCCTCAGAGCCAACTTCACATCCTTGTTTCTCAAGGTATAAATCAAAGGGTTAAGGGAAGGAGTGACAATGTTATTTAAGACTTGGATGACAGAATCCAGCCAGGGGCTGGATGCTGGTCTTAGATAGATGAGCATCACAGGACCATAGAAGAAGAGAATTGAAATCAGATGGGCACTGCAAGTTGAGAAAGCTCGTCGCCTGCCTTCTGATGAGCTTATTTTCAATATGGAAAAGACAATGCGACTATAGGAAGTGAGGATAAGGAAAAAACATGTCAAAGTCACAACATCTACGTTAGTAAAACTCACTGTCTGAGCCAGAGAAGTGTCAGCACAGGCGAGGGGCAACACCACTGGGATATCACAGAAGAAATTATCCACTTTATTGAGGTCACAGTACGGCAACTTAAAGATGAGAAAGGTAAGGATGCTTCCATGTAGACAACCTCCCAGCCAGGTGCCCAGTGTCAGACCAGTACACACCTTGAAATTCATAATGACTGTGTACCGCAAGGGGTGACAAATAGCCACAAAGCGGTCATAGGCCATGACCGTGTACAGGAAGCACTCGGTGCCACCCAGGACATGGTAAAAAAAAAGCTGGGATGCACAGCCCTCGTAGGAGATGGTGCAACTGTGTCCAACTAAACAGAGCATTATTTTAGGGGAACTTACTGATGGAAAAAATATATCAAACACTGACAGGTTTCCCAGGAAAAAGTACATGGGGGTATGGAGATTAGAGGAAGTCAGCACAGTGAGTAATATAAGTAGGTTACCCAGTAAGGTGAAGAGATAGAAGGCCAAGAACAGGACAAAAAGCATGCTCTCTAGCCCTTCAGTATTAGGAATTCCCAACAAGATGAACTCGGTTACAAAAGTGTGATTTCTCGTGTTTATGGATGAGGCAATCCTGGAAAAGCAAAGCAACAATCAGTTGCAAAAGAGCACAAGTAACGGACAAAACTCTTTCAAGAAAATTCCTGTCTAAGGCAAACTACTACATGTAAATGAAAACCAAAAGCAGAAAAGGACACGAGTGATAATATAGTCCCAAGTCTAACATTTGGCCTCTATGTTTTCGTCTGTTAAATTAAATGGAAAAAAAAAGATATTTTCATAAATGGCAAAATTCTTTTAATACTCTTCTTCCCAGTTCTATAGTGTTTACTACACAAATTGGAATATTTCTGAAGCATCTTCTAAATGAAAAAATGTATCAGAACCATTTTTATATAATCTAAGTTATAATTAATTTGTAAGCCATGTAACCAAATAAATGCACAGAAAGTGTGAATGTAAACAAAAAATAATATATATTTACCTGTTATTTTTTTCAACAATGCTTTTGTCCATCCTTCAGCACTTATATCCAAGAGAAAAGTTCAGAAATTATATTTATGACCTACACATATACATATATAAAGGCAGATATTTGGTTGAATGTAAAATAAGGCATTATATAGATAATAGATAATAAAAATAATTACTACATTAAACTAGAAATTTAACACTCACCTGATGGGTTTTCTTTCTATCTATAAGACATCACAAACAAAAGTTCAATATTTCACTTTACTTCAATCAGTTAACAGGACTCCCAGAGGGAAAAAACTTAAAATAAAAAGAAAGCCTAAATTATTTTTTTTGAAGTTCTAAAGTATGCTTCTGGGGGGTTTTGTATTCCATTTTATCTTAGCTTTCCACTTGCTATTTTTGTTACATGCTCACAAGTCAACCATAACTCATAGAATTCTATGAACAACAGATGGAACTCTTATTAAATCCTACATCACCTTTGAGATCTCTGTCACACTCAAGCCCATCCTAGCAGCCACTATGCCAACTCATCTCATTGATGGCCTTTCTTTGCTTTTGCCATCATCATGTCTTTTTCTAAGAACTGGCCCCTACTGACAACATGACCACAAAGTTTCATCATCCTTACCTTTAAGGATCATCCTGGCTGTACTTCCTGCAACAAAAATTTGCTTGTTCTTTTGGAAGTCCATGTTATATTCTGTACTCTTCAGCACTCAGCATCAAATCTTCTTTGGTTTGTGTGGCCACTTTGGTTTTTGGTGGCTCCTTTTCGTCACTAGGATATTTGTCCATGTGCAACAACTTGATGTTATTTATTTGTAATAATTCACAAATTGCTGTTTTATTTCCATTTCCTGAGTTATTTGCATTTTAATATGTAAATATCAAGCAGAATTTCTATAAGAATGAAGAGATAGAAGGAACTGTATTGGAAGAACTTTATAAGAAATTCTTAAAATTAATCCAGGTAGCCAGCCTCTATGTACAAGGACCCTGCTCAAATGGTTTGACTAGATTTAGGTACTAAGAAAGATATAAACAGGATGATAATGGGAATTCTTTTCATCCCAAAATACCATCTATATAGCTATAATTTAATGATATATATTAATTTGTTGTCTATTATCAGAGAGATACTTAGTAATCTGCTAGGAATATAAAAATGAATCAAATAAAGTACTTTACCTTGAAGGGCTCACTCAGAGTTGTGCAAAACTGGTTTCCAGCTTGAATCTTCCATTTTCTCTTTCAGGGCTTTGAGCAATTTACTTAATCCATTTAAACTTTATAAACTTCAAAAGAAAAATGAATAACAATATTATCTGTCATATGGGTTTTTTGAAGATTAAATTTATAACAAAATGAAAATTTTTCTTGACAATAAGTGTTCAATAAAGTCAAACAACTAAATCACATGCATGTAAGACTGAGGTAAGAATGATAATGTAGTAACACAGAAAGCATTGCAGATGTAGCCAAGGTGTTATTAGGAATGTTCTTTGAAGGATCTCTAAGATTTTAAAATGCAGAAAACAGGCACAAATTAGAAGAGTTTTATTTTCACTAAACCTCCACTGTGCTTCATGTAATATAGGTTGCTATTGTTGTTAGGATCATTGAGTAAAACTTGTAGTGACCCTGTGACCAATCAGTCTTGAGCACTCTTTTATTCTGTGCCATCCTTATCATTTCTGATACACTTGAATTCTCTGCTGCAGTCACCGCGTCAATCCATCTGGATGAGAAAAAAGGCTCAGATATGTTGTTCATAGGATTACTATGAATTGTACTGGACTCAATGGCACCTAACAACAGCAGCAATGTAGTATATAGTGGCAGAAATGTTTAAAAAATATTTTGTATGCTAAGTGAAAAACATTGCATTAGATTCACATAGCCAAAATTTAGCACAGGATTCTACTCCAAATTTGCCTTAGGCAAAAGTATAAAACTGACATTATCTTAGGTACACTTTCAAATCCCTTCTGATCCCTCATTTGCAGTGGTCACTAAATGCTTAATCTCTGTCTAAACCTACTCTCAAGAAAGACTCTGATATCTATTCAGAGGAAAATTCTAGAAAGAAATTTTACCTAATCATAGTCTTTTGATAAAATATTGCATTCTCACCACAGAAGACTTTTCCAGCAAAACCTATCTGTTCATCTCTTGATCTCCTGCTAAGGAGGAAACTAGATGTTTTCTTCCAATTTAATATTTTAAAATCTCATATTATTAACTTTTCATACATTATGCACATTTTGCTATTGTGACATTGGTGGTTACACTTTTATCCTAGCTCTTTAATGACAGAATGAAAAGATATATACAGTTTAAAGAAAGTTTTATATTGACAAGAAATGTAGTTGGTTTGTTGTTTTTTGTTGCTTTTTTAAGAAGAATAAATTTTAAGTGTGGATATTCTACATACACTTACTATATATATATATATTATAATATATAAGTATAATATAAAAATATATAAATACAAATGAAAAGTATAAAAAAGGATTCTTAGATAATCTCTCTCCTTCAATATCATGTACCTTGTCCCCCAAAATCTTTGAATTTACAAGCATGCATGCACATGTGCACACACATAAAGACTTTTCTCCATTTCTTCCTCAGTATTGGCTTACTAACAACAGCTGAACTCTGAGACATAGAATTATCCTAAATTCCATTATTCTCCTTCATCACTTGACTGAGAAGGTGTAGTAATGAGAAACAGTGGAGAATCATAGATGAAGAGTGGACGGAAAGGAAATAGAGATATAAACAAAACAGAGCTATCTAGAAGTATATGAAGCTGATGAAGAATACCTAAGATACAGGTAAAGAGATATTGATAAAGTCTGTAGGCAAGAATGCATCTTCTGAGTAAAAATGTGAAAGATGTCACAGCACAGAGCCGAAATTTTGTACCTTCTTTTAAATCCCCCTCTTAATTCCACACTCTGTTCTGCTCTGTAACTTGAAATTCTGGATTTGCAGTATCTTTCAAGCTGAATTGGATTAATGAGCCTATTTTATTTTGACACAACATCCCCAGTGAATCAATCCTCAGAACTCAAGAAGCCTGATAGCAAAGGGAGTAATTAGAGACTGACTTGTTTTCTTTCTATACCTTTTCCATCCTCTATGTCATTATTTTATAATATATGGAATATTAATTATAAAAGTAGCATAGCAATTGTATAGACTACTCGTATGTATCTACAAGGCAAGAGAATATATCCTGTTTCCTCTATCTGAACATTATTAATGTTAAGATTTTGATGTTTTCTTTCTAATTATTCTAGCACATGAGTATATGTAAGTTACAATCATTATACACACACACACACACACAGAGCTTTACATCTTTGTTTTCTAATTCTCATTTGTAACTTTAAAAAAAATACTTGCTCAATTTTCAAGCTATCATTATAATAATAGTATGTTGTTGTTGTTGTTGATTGCCATGGAATTGAGAATGACTCATAGTGACTCTATGAACAAAAGACTTGAAGCCTTCCTATGAATACCATCGTTTTTCAAAGTCCATAGCTTCCAGAGGCATGCTATTTAGGATACGGATGCCACTCCTGCTTCCAAAATAATAGTATGGATGTGTCTATATTATTAAAGCATTTTTTCTGGATGTTTTACTAGTTTATCAATATTCTATGTATTCCTGTACATAGACAGATATAAGTATAAATATGGATATAAATATATGAGCATGTATGTGCTTTCATTCACACTCTCATGTGTATTACATATTTTTGTTGCTGAGTCAGAATGAACACATAACTGACCTTTTAGTGAGCTTTTAGAACTTGTAAATTATATAGTAGGAGACTGCCCATCTTTCTTCTATGAAGTAGCTGGTGGATTTGAACTGTCTGCCTTTGAATGCCACCAAAGCTATATATAATGAACTGTAAGAGACATGTCAGTTCATATTTGTTGTTGCTATTTGTGCTGATGTGACAATTCCAACTCAGAGTGATCCTATTGGACACAGTAGAACTACCTCCTAGAACACCCTAGGCTGGATGTGATCTTTAAAATATGCAGTCTTTTCCTTTCTTCAGTGGTTTTTTGTCTTCTTTTTGAATTGTAAATTAAATGAAAGTTTGCAAAGAAATTATTTTTTTATTAATCCATTCATACAAATCCCCTCCCTTTTGGTGGGGGTATCTGGCTCAAAAGGTATCTACAGCAAATTTGAGTGCCGGTTTGATGAAACACTGTGTAATGGATTGAGGCCTTGGAATTCTAAGCTTCAGAAAAGGTTTCAGAGCCCCCGTGCAGCCTGTGCCAATGAATAGGAATACCTCAGCCAAGGAAGCATTCCACCACTTCCACCCTCCTCACTTCTAATTCCATGAACTTGTAAACTCCCAAATTAAAAGAGTCTGTGTATAGAAGGATTGGGAGAGCTAGGGCAGCCACACTTTTGACCAGTATTGAGAAAAGAGGAAGTGAGATTCTCCAAAGACAAAAGTCCTTACCTCAACTCCTGAAACCTTTCTCAGGCAATACTCTCATCTCCGAGGTTACAAGGAAATGGAAAAGTAAAGTTTCTATTACATTCCACCCCTTTCTATTTATGT